AAGTGAACAGCTGAAAGTCCATAGCACCTCAAAAAAGACTAAGGTAACGTGGGTATCAATATATGCAGCAATTAAGTAATAAGGACCGAATCACATAGTATCCCTAAACAAATATAAGTGATACATAGTATCCCCTAAACAAATATAAGTGATAAGGTACGAATCACTAAACAAATGCATAAACCACGTGGGCGTTTGGAAGTGAAGTCATAAGCACCTCTAAAATTGATCAAATTACACAGTTATCCCTAAACAAATGCATAATACCGAAACTACCCCTGCACGACCATAATACTTCACTTATATAGTTATGGCTTCTGCTTCCTTGGCCAGCAATCATTTCATCTGTAACTTCGAATTCCAGTTCCATTTTCACTTGATCGTACTTCGAAGCGCCATATTTTCCCCTTTAAGCTAAGGTAATTGTATTGTTTAACAAATTTACATGTTCCAAATGAATATTAATTGTTAATTCCTATTATCATCCTGAAACAAAATTTTCTCTATATGTAGCCTTTACGTACTATATTCGCTCATGCTTTAATGTGTAATGCATAACAAGATTTTACCTTAAATATCCAGATCGATCATATGGCAACTGGTATCGCTTCAGGATGCGGACAGTTACACTTGAGGAAGCCTGTCTACTTGAGGAATAGCTATGGAAATAAAGCTCACTGTCATTCCAATGTGATTCTCAACGGCACGCAAAACCAGATCGCTTGGTACGTTTTAGGGGTAAACCAGTAATATCTTTTTCATGAAATGATTAATAGTCAAACTATTATCCATGGCTCACTTTACGCAATAAATTTTAAAAGTATTCTTAAACATCGCGCTAATAATCTGATGGTGATATGCTTTTCCAGGTCTAGTTGGGTTTCAAATGTCTTGCGAGTTAATAGAAGTAGCTATCCAGAATGTCAAGTGATCAAGACAAACTGGAAGTCTAGCCGAGGAACAATCAAATCGTGCCAGCAGAGAGATGGATCAGTTACTAGGTACTTCGATTTCACTGTGATTGGTAGTGGAATTGCTGGCCTTCGATATGCACTTGAGGTTGCCAAGCATGGAACTGTGGCTGTAATAACCAAGGCTGAGCCACATGAGAGTAGCACTAACTATGCTCAAGGTGGTGTAAGTGCTGTGCTCTGCCCTTTGGATTCAGTGGAGAGCCATATGCAAGATACAATTGTGGCAGGTGCTTATCTCTGTGATAAGGAGACTGTTAGAGTAAGTTCACACAGAATATATTCAGTTTGGAGACTATAAATTTCCCCCTTTTGCCTTTACTATAAGTGTATCTCTCCTTTAATTTCTCCAGGTAGTGTGTACTGAAGGACCTGAGAGAATTAGAGAACTGATCGCTATGGGTGCTTCATTCGATCATGGGGAGGACGGAAATCTGGATCTAGCCAGGGAAGGAGGCCACTCCCATCGTCGAATTGTCCATGCTGCTGATATGACTGGCAGAGAGATAGAAAGAGCTCTATTAGAGGCAGTTTTTAAGAATCCTAATATACATGTGTTTCAACACCATTTTGCTATAGATTTGTTGACCACTCAGGTTAGTTTATTAGTGTGAAAAAAGTTTTTCTATAGTTGTGTAAAGGTGGCAATTGAACTGTTCAGTAAGGATTTAATGTTGTAATTTGTATGCCAAATGCAGGATGGTTCTGACATAGTATGTCATGGCGTTGATACTATACACACGGAAACGAAGGAGGTAAGCACCAGTTGCTTTCACTCATGTTGACTTTTGAACATTTCTTCAAAAGGACACAAATTGATTTTTATGGCTTCTGCGCTCTTACTTGTGTTTTTTAGGTTATAAGATTCATTTCAAAAGTGACTTTGCTGGCATCAGGTGGAGTTGGACATATCTATCCAAGTACTACTAATCCGACGGTATGGGTTTCAATATCTTTTCCTACAAAATCTTGTTAGTTATAATTAATGTCACGCTCCAAAAATAAATGAGCTGGACATGGCACTCGAACGATGCCTTGAAACTAGTGACAGAGCGAACCAACATCCATTATATACTCCCTGCCCTAAATGCCTAAAAAAGGATTCTGGGTAGTCGAATAACAGATGATTCTCTGCCTGGAAGTGTGAATTCTTATTCTATACACCCATAATTTATGTACAGTAAAAGCAAGATACATGGTTCAAAGTTTTACTAATTACCCGGGTCAGGCATCTGCTGTGGCTCTGTAATTGGTGGTTGGGTCAATTCTGTTTTTATACTTTGACCATTTGTGCCAACAGAAAAGTTTAACCCTGTTGAATGTGGGCTTGTTTAAATTTCTAATTCATATTGACATTATGATCATAGGTTGCAACTGGTGATGGAATGGCTATGGCTCATCGAGCTCAAGCTGTAATTTCCAACATGGAGTAAGTGATCCTCAGTTGCATTATTTTTATTGTACAATATCTCTGCCTCTGCTTTAGTGAGTTTTGTGCTGTAAAATCTGCTGATCTAGATTTCATCCTTTTTTTCCCCCTGATTTCTGCATCTTGTTCAGCATTTCGTTCAGAATTTGCACTTTCGACTAAAAACACAAGGGTGTTAAAAAATTTGCATTATTAATAACGATTCTCTTCCTCGTGTTGCCAGGTTTGTGCAATTCCACCCAACTGCCTTGGCTGATGAAGGCCTTCCCAACATACCAAGTGCCAGAGAGAATGCTTTTTTGATAACTGAAGCTGTCAGAGGTGATGGAGGCATCCTTTACAACTTAGATATGGAAAGATTTATGCCAATGTATGATGAAAGAGCAGAACTTGCCCCGAGAGATGTGGTAGCAAGAAGTATAGATGACCAGCTCAAAAAGCGTGGCGAAAAGTATGTTCTTCTTGATATCAGTCACAAGCCCAGAGAGAAGGTTCTTTCTCATTTTCCTAATATAGCTGCTGAGTGTCTCCGCCATGGGTTAGACATAACACAGCAGCCGATTCCGGTGGTTCCTGCTGCTCACTACATGTGTGGTGGAGTCCGTGCTGGACTCGAGGGTGAGACTAATGTGCAAGGTCTTTATGTGGCAGGTGAAGTTGCATGTACTGGTTTACATGGTGCTAACCGACTTGCTAGCAACTCATTGCTTGAAGCACTAGTGTTTGCACGAAGAGCTGTACAGCCTTCAATTGATCATGTGAACGTGTCTAGAATTGATCACGGTGCTTCAAGTTGGTGGCCGCGGCCTGTAGCCCCCATGGTACTAGGAGATACAGTACTTAACAAAGTCATCTGTCGGACAAGGGAAGTGAGGAAAGAACTACAGTCAATCATGTGGGAATATGTTGGAATTGTTAGGTCTAACTCAAGACTAAACACTGCTGAGAAGAGAATCAGAGAGTTGGAGTTGGAATGGGAAACATACCTATTTCAGCATGGCTGGGAACCAACAATGGTTGGAGTAGAGGCTTGTGAGATGAGGAATCTCTTCTGTTGTGCCAACTTGGTAGTTAGCAGTGCTCTTTCTCGACATGAGAGTCGTGGGCTTCACTACACCACTGATTTTCCTCATGTTGAGGAAAGCGAGAGGTTGCCAACGGTCATTTTTCCTTCTCAGCGAAATAACTCATGGAGCTCACGCCAATTACACGCGCAGCCGATAAGTTAGATATCTCTTTCCTATTTGCCATTCTTCCTGCCAAAACATCTCCAGTGCAGGACATGATTTGTCGATTTTACCGGGTTGCAGGGGTGTATCTATTGGAAGGGGTATGTGTTCACATGAACATATACTCTTTTCCCTAAATTATGTATAATAATATATATTTCTTCAATGTTTTTTAAGTATGTAAGTGTGTCAGTCAAGCTCAAAGAGTTCTATCGTTCAATAATTATTAGGTGTATCTTAACAAGTAAAATTGGGATTTTAAATCCCATGTCTATTTTGTGGTTTTTCCCGTTATCTTTTCCGTTGAAGGTTAAAATCTCACATTTCTCTTGTTGGTTTTTCCTAAAAATGTGTCTACCCACGAGGATGGGCATGTCTTGTGTCTCCTATTGCCTTTTAGTTAAGTATTTTTTTTTCTTGGGAAAATAACAGTTTTAGTTAACTATCAAAGAAGAGATAACAACTTATTACAAATTATATGCGAGAAGCACGGTGCCTGTCATGCTTCAGAAAGTCATAATGGCAAATCAAAATTATCGCCCTCCTAGGTCAAACATCAATATGGTTTCATTCTTCTTCTTCACAAATCCATAAGTCAATGACACACAATAGGTTCATTAATGATTCAGAGAACATCTAATCCAGCGAGGGGTCGTTTGGTTTGAATACGGCTTATGACGGGATTAGGTATGCTAAAATTAGTTATGTTGGGATTAGTTATCCTGATATTATTTTTTATCCACTGTTTGGTATGTTAACGATCGGGTACCCCTAAGTAATTTAATGAAAAGGAATCAACAATTGTTTCAACAAGAACAAAACACCTATTGGTGCTTGAGAAAATATAGATGTCTCGGGCATTAAATCCATGATAAAGGCTAATGCGTACCTCAATCTTTTAGCTCTTCCATTACTTAAAAGAGTTTCCCCCTACTGTACAAAGTAAATGAGGGGAATAAAGAAATCCATAAAAGAAATTTCCTATTTATGGTTTAGTAATTTCTGAATGCAAGTTTTGACAATTTATTAAAAGCATATCACAGGTCACGAGCTTTAATTAGTTAAGTAAGCAACTTGTTAAATGTGCAAGACCTGATTCTTTGGGCAACGATATCACTCAAGAGACTTGTTCGCCAAGCCACTCTCGTCAAAATAAACATCAGATTTGCCGAGTGCAAGATAAATTAATTTTCGCAAAAAAAAAAAAAAAAAAAAAAAAAAAAAAAAAAAAAAAACTTATTTATCATCTACTTCCTCTGTTTCAATTTATGTGAACCCATTTGACTGAGCACGGAGTTTAAGAAAAGAGAGAAGACTTTTTAACGTGTAGTGTAAAATGAGGCACATATATTTNTTTTTGGCACCTTTACATCTCAGGTAATGTGTATCCATTTTACTGCATTGCGTATGTCTACAGACAGAACATCACACACCTTGACAATGGAAACAAGCTGGACCTCAAAATACACAACTTAGTTGGACAACAGTGAAATCTTGCTTCGACTCTAATGAAATAAAAGACATATTCCAGGTGCAATTGTTCGTAGTGCAATTCACCCTTCTTCATCGTCTAGGATAGTTCTTTTAGCTAGTCTGTAACTTGCCCTGTTCATGGCAAATCACAAGTGCGTGATAGATTCGAGACCCAAGGAACCCTGAGCTCAAAATTGGGGAAATTAGAGAAAAGGCATCGAGAATTAACCAATAATCAGATCAAAATACCTCAAATCGTGAGTACCTCCATTAAATTTGCTCTAAATTGTGAGGTTTTGATCAAATTTAGCTCAGACAAACTTGCCTTCTTTGGAGAGAGAGAGTTGGGAAAGTTAAGTCCATTCATGACGAAAATGGTCACTAATCTATTGGAATTTGATCATTTTGGTCCTTAATGTATCCACTTGACCTACATAGTCCTTAACCTATTTAAAAAGGTGACTCTTTTGGCTTGAAACCCAATTACTAATGGTATAGCTAAAAAAGATATTAAAATTATGAGTTAATATCCTAAAACTCTCTTAAACTATTCAACTTTTGTCAATTTCCTATTTTTATTATTCGGTATCTCCAAAATTATATTCTCCCTCATACTAAAAACCCATCGTTGGATTATTTGAGGTACGTTTGGTACACGTTTTTAATTAATGAAAAAAAATTATATTTAACTCATTGTAATGTAAAAACTTGTTTAATTATTTTTTTCTAATTATTCTTTTCTTTTTACTTTTTTCTTTTCTTCTTCTCTCACCTCACGTTTCCTAACAAAGAACATGAATTTTCTGGCAACTTTTCTCCTTTTCAATTCTTTTCTTCTCTCTTGTTCATCTTTTCTCTCTATCGAGATCGGCGGAAACTCACTCGGTCTGTGCGTCTACCGGGGTACCATACTTACTTTTTTTTTTGTGATATAAGGAGTGCACAGAACTTCATAAAGAGACCCATATCCCTGGAACAACTGTAAAATAAACTCCATTTTAGTCTATCCGACTTTGACTTTGACTTGAAAGAGTGAGTTTTTTCTCACTCTTATACACAAATTACACTTTTAAGAATTTTTTTTTTTATGGATTAAATCAAGGTTTGTAAAAATTTCTTTTTGGGTGAAATCTCTTACGTCGTCACAAAATTTCATTCAAATAAATAAAAACGTAATGAATAGGTAAAGGAGCATGACCAAAACAACCCAACCAACACAAGAAATTTCATGTTAGGAATGGGTAAGGAATAAATGAGTAAAACAAGAAAGGGGATAAATAATTTAAGAAGAAACAAGAGATGGAAAATCTTTTTCAGAGAAACTCAGGTGAAGAAATAAAAAAAAAGGTAAAAAAAAAAGAAAAAAAAAAAAGAAAGGGTAAAAAATGAGAAAGAAAGCCTACATGAATATAAAAAGAATAAGGAGAAAATTTAAAAAAAATTGTACAATGATCAGACTAATTAGTCATTACACTTGGTTAGGTAGGGCCATTTTGATGGCTTTTTTCAACAGTCATGAGTCGTGTTGCGAGTTATTTCACACATTATGCCAGATATTAACGAGTGAGTTATAATATGAAAATGCATATAGTTCATGGGTTTTTGGAGATACCGCATAGTTAAAGTAGAAAAGTGATAAAAGTTGAATAGTTTAAGGAGGTTTTAGAGTATTAACTGTAGAATTATTGTTAATTTTGTCCAAGAAATACATTGTTAATTACAACGAAACTCGAATAAATTTTTTGTATAGAAAAACTAAAACCGGAATACCAAAGTTACTTATGAAGCAGTAACTTTGAACGAAGTACATGCTCCAACTAAGAACATGCAATTTGAGATTGAAAATACAAAACACATAAGCAAGTGACAGTATGAAAATAGAAACATGGACAAGAACATGTGAAGAAAGTTCATGCTCCAACTAAGACGCAAATGCAACAATTTTTATAATACAAGCAAATATGCAGCCACAAAACACTAAGCAGAAGAATGACGACTAGAAGGAGGTTAGAGGTAAATCTGCTAGTAAAAGCTAGTAGGTTACTTCTGATATACGAATGATCTTACTACTGCAAATGTATTCAATTTATTAGAAAAAAGCAGAGAAGAGACCAGCCTTGGGATTTGGAAGAATGATAAGGGGCAATGTAGTAGGGGGGACGAAGCAGTTATTTATCCTCTTATTGTTTCAATATGATAGTATCTTGGAATGTTAGGGGATTAAATAAAGTATATAAGCATAAGGAGTTAAAGATGTTTCTTACTGACAACAATGTTAGTATGCTGGCTGATATAGAACATAGAGTCAGAGAACAACATCCTGCTTAAATAATAAAGAAGGTTGATAGTAACTGGAGGTGAGTTGCACATTATAATGCTGGTAATATAGGGAGAATCTGAATCATATCGAATTTTGTTGTTGTGGATTTTATCTCAACTATTGTGCACAAACAGTTCATTCATGGTATAGTTAAAGTCCATAATTTGAACTTGGAGTTCAATTTTACTGGAATTTATGGACTGCATACTATTCATGTTAGATCTAGTTTAAGGCCTGAGGTGAAGAGTTTAAATAACAAAATTCATAATCCCTGGTTAATCATGGGGGATCATTTTGGGAGCTGAGGAAAGATTACATAACAATCCGGTATATGAGAAAGAAATAAGGGATTTCAAGAATTTTATGAAAGACACTAGATTGACTGAGTTGAAATCAATAGGAAGGATATACACTTGGACAAATTGTCATGTTCACAACAAGATTGATTTGGCAATTGTTAATGTTGAATCATGGTTATAGTCATCTCCTCATCTTGAAGAAGTTGTGATGAATCCTGGCTTCTCTGATCATTCTGCTAAAGCTATCAAAACTGAGGCAACATCAACAAGTAGTAGAAGGCCTTTCTGATTCTTTAATTGTTTGGCAGAACACACATATTTTCTAAGAGTAGTGGAGCATGCCTGGTGAAGGAATGCGTTAATCTAAACACATTAGATAGCGCGTAAATCGTAAAACGAGAACTTGCTTGTTCGCGTAGTGGAAGAGGAAAGAACAGATGAACCGCGACTGGAATTACTGGTCGGCGGTGGTTGTCACGGTGTGTTGGAGCAAACCCCCCCTNAGTAGTTTTTAGTGTACACAATAAGTGTACTTATATAGAGAATATTAAGGTTAACTAATAATCATATTGGGCCTTAAAGCCCAATTTTCCTAAATCTCACACTCACACATAATGAGAGTGCTCATCTAATATGAGAAATATATTTTCATCTCCTCAATCATTCATACAGGGAAGTAGACCGTGCGACCAGCATACTATGAGAGCTAAGTGCTATATTGTTAGGAGTATATAGCCTCTCGTCGAGTCAAACCTGCAAGTAGATCATAAAGTATGCAGTACCCTTGATCATATAAATCACATTCGATATAATCTCAAAATCTCATATATCATTATTTCTTGTATTCACAATCATAACTCATAAGTTATAACTGGTGCACCAGTGAACACAAATAAATGAGATTGCATCAATGATCTTCCTCTTCTCAAGATCCCCTTAACATTAGTTTGACTGCTTTTCTAGATATGCTCCGCTAGACCGAATCTATGTACATGGTCTTTTGGAAACATACTAAGATAGCTAACATCACACTAAGTCTCAAGTATCTGATCGGAGTCTCTAAGGGTACAAAATCTCGAGCCATCATAAAAGCTATGGGTCTCACACAACAATAAGTTGAGAATGAACTTATGTTAACCCAATTGATCGACATTAGCACACATGGTATGAAACACGTGCTATAACATTTTCTCCTTTTTTCCAAGGAGCGTATGTCTTTATCTCATAAAGAATGTTGTACAGATGATATTTAGATACCATAAGTATCTAAATTTGAGTTTCTTGATCTATAAAATCATATTTAACTCACATCTGGCTCACAAAGTAGACTAGGTGAGCGTTTTTCACCCTAATGATCTTATGTCATGGTTTAAACGATATTATGATTTTAAGCGAATAGCTCTCAGATTATCCTTATGATAATTTTGCTTAAAATCATGTCTCATCTCCTCACATCACTAAGATAAGGAGACGGTTGCCTTTGTGAGAAGGCCATCCTCTTGTCTACCTGACATACTTGTCAAAAAGAATAAAGAATGCGCATAACATTCAACAATAAAAATATGTATGTATGTAAATCAACTTTATTGATTATCAAAGAACATCAGTTTTGTGAACATGGGAAAATAAGTAACAAAATAAAGTATCTCAGAGTCTATGCAAGCCTTGAGACCTAGTGTGTCTCACAAATGCATCTCTAGACAAAGGCTTGGTCAATAGATCAGCTAACATATCCTTTGTAGACACATACTTCACATTCACTACCTTGCGTCTAACCATGTCTCTTGCATAGTTATACTTGATATCTATATGTTTGATTTTGCAATGAAACTTAGGGTCCTTGGTGGAGGATATTGCATCATCCCTATCACAGTAGACTAACACTGGCTCAGTATTTTCAACAATATCCAACAAGTGCTCCAAGAACTTTTTCAACCAAACAACTTCTTGTGTTGCTGATGCGAGAGCCACGTATTTGGCTTCCATCGTAGAAAGTGATACACATAATTGTTTCTTACTACTCCATGATATGGCGCCATCACTGAATAAGAAAACATATCCTGAGGTAGACTTCCTTTCGTCTAGGTCTCCTCTATGATCAGCATTACTGTATCCATGATAACAAAGGGCATAATCAGCAGTTCCCTTCAGATATCTCATGATCCTCTTTACTGCTTGCCAATGTGATAAACCTGGGTCGGTTTGATATCTACTTACCAAGCCAACTTCTTGACAGATATCAGGTCTAGTGCACACCATAACATATATTAGACTTACGACTGTGCTCCTATAAGGAATTCGGCTCATTCTTTCTATCTCTTCAGGAGTCTTAGGACATATCTGACTTCCCAAGGTATGGCTTTTACTGATAGGAGTTTCAACTGGGCTACTATTTTGCATATTGAATCGTTCAAGAACTTTTCTAATGTAATTCTCTTGTAACAATAAAAACACTTTGAGTACAATAAAAACACTTTTTGCAGTATTACTCTATGCTCTTCTCTCTCAATCCAAGATCCAAGCTTGCAACAATAGCTAGAACCAAGCGAACTGAGGTAAATCATACATCAAGTGAGAAAGTCTCTTCGTAGTCTATTACTTTCTGTTGTGTATACCATTTCGCCACCAGTCGAGGCTTATATCTCTCAACTGTGCCATCAACCTTGAGCTTAATTTTGAGAACCTATTTGCTCCCAATTGCTTTGCGTCCTTCAGGGAGGTCAACTAGTTCCCAAACTTTGTTGACTCTCATAGACTCCAATTCATCTTCCATTGCTTTTGTCCATTTATCCTTTGAAGAGCATGAG